ATAGAGAACATCGTATAAAACTCGCCCTGCTGTATTTTTCTAAGTAAAAATGTTACACAAAATAACTTTCACAAAACTACGCAAGACAGTATAAAAAATTATTGACTCACCAGCAATAGAAGGCGGTATAAGAAGAGCTGATATATTCTTATTTCTGTATTCATAAGCCGTAACTCCAGGCAATCCAGGTGTTCCATTAATACCGGGTCTTCCAGATTTTCCTTTAGGTCCATGAAGCCCTAAAAAGATTGCACAAAACATTTTACGCCAGATTGGTATAACTAACCTAAATTTATCCAACGACACTTCTTGAACTTCTCTTTCAAAATTTAGAAATAATGGCACAAAAAGTGATAATTCTGTTAAATAGAGTATGGCTGAGTACGATTATTATAAAGATCTAAATTCATTTTATTCTAAAAGAAAGCAAAGTTCCACAAAGAAGCAGTCCTGTTCAGAGAATGGAACTACAAAGTATAATAATTAAATGAGATATTAATATTAAGGTTTTAATATATTTTGTATTTAAAATTATGTTATTTATAATTAAAATTTATGAAATTTCGAGTTCTTTTCGTCTAAACATAATAAAATTTTGACATAAATAATTATTGTTTTTGTATAGGAAAATATGGGATATTTTTATTAAAGCGTAAACCAAACTAAACTTTGATAATTTTTTAATGGTCTGGTCTCGATTCTCGATTTGCCATTTTGTAAAATGACTGCAAACAGGCAGTCTTTTTGCAGAAGTGTACAGAAAATATCATCATTGTTTAATATGCCTAATTCTGATTAGGCTTTTTGCAAAGTGACTGAAAATAGATAGGCTTTTTGTAAAAAAATCTTCTCTTGTGTAAAAATCAGGCGTTTTATAATATGCCTAGTCTTTTTGCAAAAAGCCGGATTATTCTATATGCCCGCGACATATACATGGTATACTAAAAATAGTTTACATCTACCAAAATAAGAAAAATTAAAAAAATATATCATATGCATCTTCCAAAGAAGACATACTGATACTACAATTACTTCATGGATTTTACTTTTACCCAAATAAAAAGATAACCTTTTATTTATACGCGATATTGTAAAACAAAAACTTGCTTTTCGCATAATATAATTTTACTTCCGAGTTACAGTTGTATTAAATGTCGGCAATTAGAGATCCGGATCCGAGCTTTTGCATAAAGATTTTTCGTTCTATTTCATTTGTGCATTGAAGTTCTTCCTGCTCAAAGGCACGTCTCTTTTTAAAACTCATTAGTTCAATTAGCAAACTTTTTATTCACCTTAAAGCGAAATTAATTTGCTGCTTCGAATAGGTTTGGTTGTTTCCCTGTTAATTACGGTTGTATTTGAGTGTTTAAAAGGGTTTTTATTGAAAAAATAATTTATAAAGTCGTAGATAAAGGAAAATAATTAAAACTTGCTTGCACGTCATCAAAATATTTGACAAATGCACGTCGCAATGTTGCCACGGCTACTTTTTTTTTACTTTGACTTTTGACAAATGTCAAATAAAATTTGTAATTTAGTTACCGATTTTCAATTTTTGAACCGTGCAAATATTGGCTCCTCTGTTAATTTCACAGCAAAGTTGTAATAGGGTTTTTTTTTAATAGGGGTTTTAATTTTTACTTTTTGAACCATTTTGGACCAGATGATTTTAAGTAATTTAAGAAAAACTGCATCTATTTTTAAATTAAAACTGATCAGATAACAATGCAAAACCAGGCAAATGCCAACGTACCTTAAGAGTCCATTCCACTAGTCCGAAAAAGTAGCCAAATAAGCGTTCGGCATTTAACGTTTTATGTAAAACTGTCCACGTATTTTTAAACAAATGAAGAAGGATAATTAAAGATAAAGGATTATAATATATCCGTATTGTAGTACATTTTTAGACAACTTCTTTATTTTTAAGATTTTGATGGTCAAACATCAACAAAAAAAAACCTTATGTTTGGACTAAATTTTCTCGAAAATAAAGATATAATTTAAAATTCCGCTACGATACGGAAATAGATTGAAGTTTTGTGTTTACAGTGATATATAATTTATATGGTTTTGTAACAAATTGCTCGCTATTTTATGGCAAACCCTGAAGCTCTGCAGACCTTAATCAAGCCTTAATCAAAGCACGTGTGTTTGGAATTTTGGATGTGGCTTAACACGATAGGATCAGGTTAAGCCTTAAGTGGGCCACTCACGATACTGTGGCGCCGTACAACAGAATCGTACAACAAAACGCTTACTCACAATCAAACATTTAGTTTAAAAGTGTTGTACAAGCAAAAATGTTGGAAAGCGAAGAAGATATTTTGGTAGCAACAGCTGCAGTATGTGCAGTGCAAATAATTTAAAAACGGAAGAAACGATATTGTAATCGAAGGTGGTGGTGTAAGGAATTGTTACCAAAAAGATCCACATATTCACATATTAATTTACTCGAAGAATTACGGCTGTACCCAGATGATTGGCGTAATTATCTACGAATGGACGAAGACTCATATTTAGAGTTACTTAATTTAGTTGCACCCTTCATTAGAAGAAAAGATACCAATATGGGCTCCACTTCTTTGAATTTTGCAACTAGAGTACACATTGCCCGTTTTCTTACTACACGATCATGATACTCTGGAGCTTTAACTTTCCAAAGACACGTAAAACTTCGGTAGATTTCAAAAAACTTAGTTAAAAATTGCTAGGAATATTTAGACATCTTTACAGAAATCGGCACGATTTTACTGCTGCAGTTAAAAGTTTTGAACTGCGATCCAATACAATGCAACTTGGTCGGTTGTGCACACACACGATACAATATTGTCAATTGTCGTCCGATTTTGTCGTATCCAACATAATCGTACTGCGGCGTAGTATTGTGAGTGGCCCACTTTAGGCAGATTTCTGAAATATCTATATATATAAATCTCTAAGTCCTGACTGATCACTGACTCATCAACGCCCAGACCAAACCCTTGACCCTAGAAAGCTGAAATTTTGCACAGAGGTTCTTTTTATGATGTTTACGTGAGATAAGAAAGGATTTTTTAAAATTCATCCCCTAAGGGGGTAAAAAGGGGGTGGAATATTACAATATTTTTTATTTAAAAAACGGTCAAGTTTTCGAAAAAACGCTTAAACACGTATATTTTATTTTCTTTTTTTACATATTTTGAGATTTTTTAAAAATGTATACAGGGTGTCTCGAAAAATCTGATCATTGATTAACCACGATCCTGCTTAAAGCGCTTGACGTAAAAAGTTGATTTTTGGAAAACGGATTTACTTTAGGGTGTAGAGGTTCTAGTAGTCTCTGTAGAGGTAGAATTCTAAGGGGGTGAAACCACCCCTCAAATATAAGAATATTTTTTATTTAAAAACCGGTGAGTTTTTCGGAAAAACTCTTAAACACGTATATTTTATTTTGTTGTTTTACATATTTTAAGATTTTTATAAAATTTATACAGGGTGTTTCATAAAGTATGGCCATTGAGTAATCACGATTCTGCTTAAACTGCTTGACGTTTAAAGCTGATTTTTGGCAAGCGGATTGACTGTGGGGTGTAGAGGTTCGATAATGAGGGGTTCCTCGAACCTCAAATTCCAAGAGGGTGAAAACGTCCCTGAAATAATCTATACTAATATATAACACTCTTAAATGACTCACTGATTAATCACGATCCTGCTCAAACCACTCAACGTAAGGAGCTCAATTTTGGCATACAGGTTGATTCTAGAATTTAGTGGTTCAATAAGAAGGGATTTTTCGAAATCCCAGTTCCAAGGGGGTGAAACCTCCCCTCAAGTATTACCATATTTTTTATTTAAAAAACGATCAAGTTTCCGAAAAAACGCTCGTACACGTATATTTTATTTTATTTTTTACATATTTTAAGATTTTTTAAAAATGTATACAGGGTGTTTCGAAAAATCTGGTCATTGATTAATCACGATCCTGCTTAAAGCGCTTGACGTAAAAGGCTGATTTTTGGAAAACGGATTGACTTTAGGGTTTAGAGGTTGAAAACCGGTGAGTTTTTATTTTGTTGTTTTACATATTTTAAGGTTTTTTATAAATTAATCACGATTCTGCTTACACTGCTTGACGTTTAAAGCTGATTTTGGCAAACGGATTGACTGTGGGGTGTAGAGGTTCGATGAGGAGGGGTTTCTCTAATCTCACATTCCAAGAAGAAAACGCCCCTCAAATATTACAATATTTGTTATTTAAAAAACGGTTAGTCTTTCAGGAAAACGCTTGGACACGTATAATTTATTTTGTTTTTTACATATTTTTAAATTTTTTAAAAAATCATACAGGGTGTTCCCAAAAGTTGGGAAATTGATTAACCACGATTCTGCTCCAGTTTGTATGTTAATGGAAATTCTTGCTTTGCTTTATCATATCACAATTACAGATGATTAATTCGACGCGAACGAAGTCGCGGGTACATGCTAGTAATATATATTTCCTTCGGCAAAACACCCGCTTTTCCCGACCCCTGAGAGCCACCCGAACAATATAGCGTAATAGACTCTTAAGATGTCATCCTATAATTATGTCAATGTCCTATTGTATTTTCTAAATGTTAGACTTTTGCTTCATTCGAACCAGTTTTAAATTAGAGAAATAATATTTCGAGGACTCTAAGCGTAGGTACTATAACGGTAGTTTGGTGCAGACCGAGGGGTAAACACTTAGGGCAAAAAGTGTACACCTACATCCTCTATCCTTAGTACATCCCCTACATCCTCCAGTACATCCTCGGTACATCCCCTACATCCTCGGTACATCCCCTACATCCTCGTACATCCCCTAGTACATCCCCTACATCCTCGGTACATCCACTACATCCTCGGTACATCCCCTGGTACATCCCTACATCCTCTAGTACATCCTCGGTGCATCCCTGGAAATCCTCTCATGTGTACGCCATACATTTAGAATAATTTTCGTGATGAACCGTTTTACGTATCTAAAATACTTTTCGAGATATACTTATCTTGGACACACTGTATATATTTTTTTAAATTTTATTTGAATGGTAAAAGAAAGTTAAAATTTTGAACGCTATTATCTCCGAAACTATTAAATATATAAAAAAGATGAAGCACCATTTCGACTACATTTACTAGAGGGATATAAAAATTTACAGGGTGTTTTTTATTTAAAATAACAAAATTAAGGTTACTTTACTTACGACGAAACCGGAATTGTTATTTATGTTAGAGCGATCTCCCACTTTATTACGAGCTTTATTAAATGTATAACTACACAAAATTTCTCAAACCTGTACAATTTATTGGCTAGTAATATAGTTTTTGTTGAATTCAAAAGGATAAAAAAAAATCAAAACCATTTAAAAAAATTATATGGGGTTATCGAGAATCGAACTAAGGCGCGCCAACCCATATCAAATCTTGCCAGAGCTGTAACAATCTCGGCTATTATTGTGCCTACAACAATTCGCCGTTACTTTTATTATACAGGGTGAGTCTTAAATAGGTGCAAATATTTTCAGGGCTGGTAGATCTCGATAAAAGAAACATATTTTTTCTTTACCATTTTTCAAATAAGTCCAAAATAACCGAGTTATTTAAGTTTGAAAATTTAAAAAAAAATTGATTTTTTTTAATTTTGATAGCCACCTGAATTTTTTCTGTATTTGCATCCCTTTTAGTGCCGTAACCATAGAGTAAAGCTGTAACTATGGTAATATCAGAGATTAAGAATTTATAACGTGGGAAAATTAGCGGTGAACAGGCAGTTCTAAAAAGTTTTCGAAAAATATACAGGGAAATTTAAAAGAAAATGCACGATTTTTAACATATTTTATTTGCAAAAAAAACATCATAGACGTGTTCCTGGGGTCAAAATATACCACCCCTGAAAATATTTGCACTTATTTAAGACTTACCCTGTATAACAGCAGTTTATGCCTCGGTTTATGCAGTTTATGTCGGCGGAAAAAATAACTTAGTCATGCGTAAAGCCCTATATTATGTGCAAAGTTATCAATCTCGTGTTTTGAACCCCAAATAAAAATGAGATCTAGTAGCTACCGAGGATCTACTTTATAAAACAGACCTAAAAATAGGCAACGCTAAAGGCATTCGCATTTATGAACTTCGTTTTTGACGTATAGAGGGTACAATAATAATTATTTACACACACTTCCCTTTAATTCATAACGCTTACGGCACTATGCAATAAGATATGAACACACATGCCAAACACAGTTTTGCATAAACTTATACTAGAGATATGGATTAAAGGCTATATATCTGACTTATACATACATTTTGCGAGATATTTTGAGGTTATGAGTAGGGGTGAGCCACAAAGCCTTGAGTATCGATATTTTTATCGATATATTAAATAAAGGTCCATTTTCACTCCCATGAAATTTGTGCAAATCGGCTTGTGAAAATCGGCTTGTGCAAACTTTATTTAATAAATTCATTGAGAAAAACGGATGTGCACAAGCTAATTCACATACGTGAAAACCAAGTAACGATATATTGGTCCATAAATATCGATATAGCTATCGATATAACAGATACCGCTATATCTCTTTATGAATACTTCATATCGGAAATATCTATATCTATCTATATTCACAATATCGATATTCGATCTTATTTGATTTCGTACAGGGTGGTTGTAAAATATTGAATAAATATCAACATCTCGAGAACCACATTTTTTGGAAATCGCTCGGCCACATCAATTATTTTAATTTTTCCGGGGCAGATTATGCCAAAAATGAATATTATACAGGGTGTCTCAAAAATGCTTTGTCCAAAACAATTTCTTTTAATGGCAACCCTCGTGGCAACATAATTATTATTTTTCTGCATTTTTGAATTGCCCTTAAAATTCTGAATATTTTCCATGTTAGTGCTATACCCAAATCCAAGCTTTTTGGAGTTATTCTCATTTACAAATTAAAAAGTGAAAAAAAATATTAGAAAAAAACCTTTTTAAGAGGATACCGAAGAGGATACCTTATGGAAAATGTATTCAAAAGACAACCCACAAATTTGGATGACTTGAAACATCGCATTCGGCAAATTACGCCCCAAATAATTCGAAATACATCCCCGGTAAATCCTCGGTACATCCCCTACATCCTCTAGTACATCCTCGGTACATCCCCTACATCCCGGTACATCCCCTACATCCTCTAGTACATCCTCGGTACATCCACTACATCCTCGGTACATCCACTACATCCTCGGTACATCCCCTGGAAATCCTCTCATGTGTACACCATAAATCCCCTAAGTGTTCACCCCTCGGTGCAGACAGTATACAACAAATTTCATTTGACAATTATAAAATCAGATGTAACACAATGATTTTTAATTTCAGATTTGTTAAAGAAACTCAGAACAAAATTGAAAGTGATACATGTCATATTTAGAAAAAAATAATAAAATCGAAAATTACAAGTATCAGATTTTCAAAGAAAAATCTCATGACAACCGGTAACGACCGCCATGACTACCAACAATTTTTATGAGAAAATGGAAGTTTTACTTGGGTCAGGATAATACTGAGGGTAAGGTATGGTTCAATGTAATTTTACAGCGATGGGCAACTTTTGCGTTCAGAGGAAGTTAATAGACTTTCCGAAAGTTGGGTGCATCGAAGTCAAAAGAGATTAGGATGATCGGGGCTCGGGGCTCTTGTTTGTATTAGCGATAAAGCTTTTTAAAAGTGCACGTGCAGTTTGAAATTAGAGTATAGAATTTAAGCGGCTTTAAACTTTTACCAGGTTTTAATTAACATTTTTTTCTTCTCAACATGTATACCTAATAATAAATGTATAATACATGTTCATAAGTTACCTTAATCTGAATTAGTATACACTAAAATAGTAGGTATACTCGAAAATATATAAATTAAAAAAATAGATACAACAGATTATACCATACGATCGAAAAAAAAACGGTGGCAAAAACGGCTGGGGAATAACAATCGATGATAATTTTCGGGAAGTCAAGCCATTAGACATAATTTCTTATCCCTTACTCTTCTTTATTTTTAGCGACCATAGCAACAGGTATGGTAGGCTATTAAGATCGACAAAAAAAGTTTTTTTTTAATTTCACTCAAAATGAGTTATTTGGGTCAGAAATACAAAATATTTTCATGGTGTCTGTCTGTCTGTCTGTCCGTCTGTAGCACGATAACTCAAAAACCGCTAAACCGATTTTAACCAAATTTGGCACAAAAATACTGTGGCGCCCGAGAATCTGGCCAGTAGTTTTTGGTGGGGGTGGGGGGTTGGTAAGGGGGTATGGGAGGGGGTTAAAAATTTTAAAAAATCGCAACTCCAAAATTACGGTAGCTAGCGAAACGCGGTTTTCAATTTAAGATTAGGATTAAATTTAAAATCAGTCAAAGTCGCAGTTTTTAAGATAAAAAAAATTGGAAAAATTCCTTTACTTCGAAACTTAAAGAACTGCCTACCAACTTTTTATTAACATATTTTAATATGGGCGGCTATACGTACCTCCCGGCGCCAATTATTTAATGGCGCTTAGTGCAAGTTGGCCTTAAAAAGTTGTAAGCTTGAGTTAATTTCTTAATTTTTATTAAGTAAACATTATTTTTTAATGAGAAAAAATTCGAGAAAAACCAATTTTTTGGATATAGATTTGTGTGCCTGAAAACGTTTTCTATCATTTTTTAATCATTCTATAATTAGGGTTAGTTAATTTTTAGTAAATGAGGTGTACAGATTCACCTCGTCAAAATTATCATCGATTGTCAATTCCCAGCCATCTTTGATACGGTTTTTTTTTCAATCATACAGTATATTAGTACCTTCAAAGATTTTATTTACACACCTCTTTCTCCTTTGGGTCCCTGTGGTCCAGGTAAGCCTCTTTCACCTTTTTGACCTGAAATAAATATGTTTAATAAAATGGGTTAGAGACATGGTATGTTAGTATATCACATAAATAAGAATTGATTAATTTATTCAATTGCTTTCGGTCATTTCCTGTTTCAGCGGAAATGACTACAACTTTTGATTTTTAAATGGCACCCTAGGTATTTTTTTTTACTTCATTATATATTATAGGAAATATCTCTCTGAATAGATTCACATATATAAAGAATATGTCAATCTATTCAGACAGTTATTTAATACCATATGTCAACTTTTGACATTCTTGCTTAAAAAAACCTATTTTAAATTTCCTTTTAGAGTGCCATGGCTGTGTTAAAAACACTAATATTTAATCAAAGAGCCTTGGAAAATAGATTTGATCATCTAATATTTTTCGTATCTTTTCCTGGCTGGTTAAAAGATGATAAAATTGTATTTTTAATCATATCTCAATTTTTTCAAATGGGACGAGGGTGGCTCACTAACATATTTAGGAAAAGTATTTTTTACGAATAATTTGGTACCAAACACTTGGTATTTCAAATCAATTTGTCGTTACATTTACAGCCATGGCACACTAAATTCAAATTGAAAATGCTTATTTCTTTTAATTAAAAATGTCAAAAGTTGACATATTATATGTCATTCTATTCAGAGGGTTATTTTCTATCGAATAAAGTAAAAAAATATCGAGGGTGTCATTAAAAAAAACAAAAGTTGTAGTCATTTCCGCTGAAACAGAAAGTGACCGAAAACAATTGAATACGTCAGTCAATCCTAATTTATGTCATATACTTCCAAACCAAATCTCGTTTTTCTATATAAAAAATAAAAAATTTATAGAGGTGAGCCGCTTTTGAGAAACATCCGTATATGAAATTGTCAAAAGAAAACATATTTCTCAATCTCACATACCAATGAGTCTTGAAATTCATTATAAACTTTACTCTTTTCTGAGAACGAAAACAACCGTAATTACTATATTACTAAAAAATAACTTTAAAAAGTTATTATATTTTATTACCACCTATAAGATAAATCTTAATTTATAAACTAGCAAGGCAACGCAAAACTTTAACTTGCTCATTTTAATAACACTACAATTTTTTGCATAGCTTGGAAAAATCCATTTTTCCACAACGAAAGTTTCCCATCCAATCGAAGGCTTCGTTATGACTTTGGAGGTATTATCGGGGCGAAATTTTTCGTAAAATTATCGGAGAAAACTTTAAAATTTAATTTAATGGATATTGGAAGAAGATAAAGAGATAGGAATGCCGATATTCTAAAGGGTGGTCTTTGGTTTAACCCGTTTTTTCAAGTTCTGGAATAATTAAAAATTTAAAGTGCAGTGTATAAAAGTATTACAGGTAGAAATTTATGAAAGGAATTGGAGAGAAACTCATTAGCAATGACATGAAAGGGGAATCATGATTAATTCATACTGTGAGAGAGTCAAATGTGTTATTACAGACTTTTGCGGCTTGTATATAAATATATAAAATACTAGTACATTTCTAATTGGACTAATTATTGATGTTATTAATTAAAACTAAGGATTGCTGGTAAATTGGTTATTTTTAACTAATTCTCTGATAAATTTTAAATAGAGCACCTGTTCCTAAATCATACATCTACAATATCGGGTTTATAATTGCAATGGAGTGTCACCTGGTGGTACGTAAGCTCAATAAGACGTCCAGTAATACATAAGATCCTTTTGAAGTAGCACAAGTGCTTGTAGAAAAAATACATATCAAAGATTCTTTATAAGTGTGCACTGATATATGGATGACTTATGGTAAGTAATTTTGTATGACTTGGAGAAATGTAACTGATGGTGTGTATTTTTTGCTCAAACTAAGAAATATTTCATTTCATTCCACATGCTTAAATATCACATTATTTCTAAAAAGACCACTAAATAATTTATTTTGTTTTTTTTTTCAATAATTTTGCCTCCTAAAACTGTACCTCTGGTTGCTAAATTTGTATCAGTACAATTTAGGAAGTTATTAAAGTATTAAGTTATTCTTAGTACCATCCAACTACTTGGATCGGTGCCCGTATCTCAAATAATTCAAAGTCCCGTGTTGCCGCATAGTCAAGAAAGTATATGCTTAAAAATAAACCAGAAAATCACACCACCTGAAGAGTTTAGCAGAGATTGCAGAGATGCATTACATTTTTAAGATGGTGTTATTATTACACAAAATAAATTAAAAGAAAAAACTTACTAAACCTTTTCTATAAGATTCGCATAGTTAATAAATCAAATTTTTGTTATATAAATTATTAATTATCAAAAAAACTGATTAGTTTCTTTTCGAAAAAAAAAACTAATATAATAAATAACCTTACCATTTGATCCATCTCTTCCATCCTTTCCTGGAATACCATCCATTCCAGGCATACCGTCATGTCCATTTCGTCCAGGACTTCCGAATAATCCTGGCGATCCAGGAACACCTGTGCGACCATCCAAACCTGGTCGACCTTGCTCACCCTAAAAAACAAATATATGTTAGACACTAAAATAATATTCTAATTTCTAAAATTTATTGCCAAACAATATAGGGGTTTAAGTCTAGAATGCCAGTTTATCTAAAAAGACAACATTATAAAAAAAATGAATTAAAAGCTAAAGAGTTTAAACGGATTGGTCATTAATAAGATATAAAACAAAGCTGTTAAAAGAAATACCTTTTCTCCTGGAAATCCTATATCTCCCTTCGATCCCGGAAATCCTGGTAATCCCGTTTTTCCTGGAGGGCCGATTGGCCCGTTCTCGCCCTTGGGTCCTGGTGGGCCCGGATAACCTAAAAAATAATTTCTGTAAAATTGGCAATTTTTTTATTAAATGCCATAATAAAGTCGTGTTATAAACTAACAATAAAGTATCTTTTTTTATCTCTCGTTGTTTTTATACCGTCCAAAATTCTACTTTATTGTAGGGTGTAAGCAAGTATTTATTTTATAGATTAAACCTTTGAATAAGAAGACTAAGGAAGGAGCATAATTTGAGCATAATGCTATCCATGTATCCATGCATGGTGGGCGGAAAAAGCACCATAAAAGCACTCTAGGGTGGCGATACTTGACAGTTCTGTTTGACGATTCATTTGACACATTTGAATTTGATTTGAAATTTTGTGGATTTGTCAGTCTTTTTCGGAGCTTATTTTATGTTATTTATTATTTATTCTACTACTGATAGTTGTATAAAGGTAGTAAATCTAGATGGAAATTGTGGCAGAACTTAAATTAACAGTGACACTATCGCGATTTATCGAAAAAGACTCTAAAATAGTTGGTTGTGTAGCGTGCGGTAGATCTCGGCAAAAATTGAGTGAAATAATGGAACAACTTTTCGCTAGTAAGTGACTATATAATATACATACGTGTAGTAAACCGACCATTTATGAAATTCACTTAAATTAACTAAATTATATATTTTTCTTGCATTTTAGCTTTTATTTATTACTTGTCAAAGATTAGATGTCAAAGAATTTAGATACGTTAATTTGACTTACCTGCTTCAGTAGCGTATCGGATGTTTGTGTTAATAAATACTTATTATAACTTATCTATTTTTATTAGAATTATATATTTTATAACAATTTTAATAACTACCAACATTTATTCACAACGTAAAATAAAACAACAAATTATTGAGTCTACCTCACGTCTACCCTACATCATAGTTTTACATTTTTTAAATAAAATTGGAACGACACTGATAAACCGGAATTTAAGTCGGCCATATTTGAGGCCCATCGCGGTGTACCTAAGATTTTTGATATGCTCCTTCCTTAGTCTTCTTATTCAAAGGATTAAACAGATTAAAGTTGGTTACCTGGCAACCCTGGAAGCCCTCGATCGCCTTTGTCACCTGGTTTTTGCGGACAGAATTCTTGCACCTTCTTACAGTAGCCTTCTAAGGTTTTTTCCTGTAAAAATAAAAATAAATATTAAAGTTACTGATATTTTTTTTAATAAACGTAACACGGTTATAATTTATTTAACTTAAATATTCCAATTTCTTCGATTATAATTTTCAAAATTTTAGCAAGTTTACATTCATATTATACTGTAGTTACTTAAACAGAATAATAAAATAAAAACAATATATTCAACCTATTACTCATATTATATTGTTGGTTATATTTCTATAAAACACAGAAAAACATAGCACAGAAATATATAGGATAGATAAACATCAGAACAGAGCATATAACAGCAGAACAAATATTACTAAATAAATAACAAAAAAAATAATAGTTGTTAAGAAAACTAAAATAAACAAATTTATACTTAAATTCTAAATACTCATAATTTCATTATATACGATATACAATTCTTTTAATATACAGTTTAAATAATGGTATGAAATATCCAGATTTGATAAATATACGTTATTATTTTATATTACAATATGTAAAATTTCTTAGATATTGAAAGCAAACAATGTTCTTAGGAGGACCTTATTACGAGCTATTGAGAAGTTTTGCTGAAGAATCATCAAGTTCTAAAAATACTGTTGTTAGTCTCAAAAATAACAAGTTAGTTTACCACAGATCCTATTAAGAAGAACGACCGAGAAAAGTTAAATTTTATTCAAACTGTCATTTTCCATCGAATATAGTAAAAAAATATCGAAGGTGCCATTTAAAAATCAAAAGTTGTAATCATTTCCTGTGAATCAGGAAGTGACCGAAAAAAATTGGATACGTCAATCAATCACAATTTATGTCATATACTAACATACCAAATTTCGTTTTTTTATCAAAAAAAAATAAAATTTATAGAGGTGAGCCAGTTTTGAGACGCACCCGGTATAGTTAACTCAATATTCCAGTTAATTAATGCACCTCTATCATCATCATCATCATGCGTAGGCCTCCTCCATATTTCTCCATTCTTTACATCATCGGTCCAGCGTGTCGGTGGTCTGCCTCTGCTACGTTTATCTGCTCGAGGTCGCCATTCTAACAATCTTCTATTCCACCTGTCTTTAGATGTTCTCGCCACATGACCTGTCCATCTCCATTTCATTCGAGTTACGTGTTCCACTATGTCTTTAATTTTGGTTTTTTGTCTGGTAGTGTTATTAGGAATTTTGTCTCTTTTAGTTATTCCAAGCATGGCTCTCTCCATGGCTCTCTGGGCTACTCTTAAATTTTCTGCAGACTTTTTCGTTAATGTTTCCGCTTTAGAGTTTCCGCTCCATATATAATTACCGGCAAGACGCATTGTTCATAAAGTTTCCTCTTCAAGCATATGGGTATATCACTTTTAAAAGTCTCCCGCAGTTTGCCAAAAGCAGCCCAACCCAAACCTATTCTGCGCTGTATCTCGTGTGTTTGGTTGTTCTTTCCGATTTGTATTTCGTGCCCGAGATATTTGTATATATGTGTCTCTTTTTTTTTATGTCGGCGTCACCTATTCTGATGTTCTGTATCAGCACTAAGTTTGTCATTATTTGCGTTTTACTCGTATTTATCCGGAGACCGACTTTTAATGAGGCCTGCACTAATTCTTCGAGCATCTGCTTTGAATCTCCGATGTTATCTGAGACGAGGACGATGTAATCTGCGAATCTGAGATGTGTCAACCTTTCACCATTGATATTTATGCCCCTATTCTCCCAAGAGAGTGATTTCATTGCGTATTCAAGGACAGCTGTAAAAGTTTAGGCGAAATAATATCCCCTTTGTCGAACTCCTCTGCCTACCTCAATTTTATCTGTTGTTTCGTGAAGTTTTTCTAGTTGTGGTGGCATTACTATATATGTATTCTATAAGCCTTGTATACCTATAATCTACTCTTCCCTGCTCCAATGCTGATATTATTGATGTTAATTCTACTGTGTCAAATGCTTTCTGGAAATCAACGAACACCAATGCTAGGGGCCTGTTGTATTCCACAGATTTTCTATCAGGACTTTAATTACTTGAAGATGATCGTTTGTTCCATAACCTTTCCTAAAGCCTGCCTGTTCTCTTGGTTGATAGAAATCTAGTTTACGTTAGAGACGTTTGGCAATGATTTTGGTAAACAGCTTATACAAGTGACAAAGAAGGCTTATCGGTCTATAATTTTCAAGCTCGGTGATATCGCCCTTTTTATGGAGAAGTATCGTTATGGCGTTGTTCTATTGAGACGGGATTATTCCTTTTTCAAGGCATAGATTAAATAAGTCTTTAATCCATTTTAATAGTGTTCTTCCTCCGAGTTTTACAGCCTCAATCACTATGCCGTCCTCGCCCGGGGCTTTCTTATTTTTCATTTCTTTTAAAGACTTTCTGATATCTTCTGTAGTTATTTCCGGTATATCCTCTGATCCCTGGTTAACTATCTTTTTGCACAGACGTTGTTGACTGTTGTATGTTTGTTGGTGATTACTTGTGTATAGTTCAGTGTAAAAGTTTTCTGTTATTTTCAACAGCCTTTCTCTATTTGTTGTTACGGCCCCTTGGTTGTCTTTTAGTTTAAAGATCTCTCTCTTTCCATTTGACAGTTTTCCCCGCAACACCTTCATACTTTTATTCTCTTCTATAGTTCGCCTTATATTATCTGTATTAAATTTTCTTACGTCCTTTCTGATTTCTTTAGATATTGTTTTGTTCAATTGTCTCAGGTCTTCAGAGTTTCTGTTGTTTTGTTTTAACATTTCTTTTCGCAAAGATATCATATTCTTTGTATTTTAGGTGAGTTTTTGTTGTTTGTTATTAATTTGTTGGCAGTGTTGTACTTCCGCTTCTTTAATGGCTTCAACAATATTGCTACTTATATTTTCAATATCGTGTTGGCTGTTTAAGGTCCGTTCTTCCAGGAAAGCTGTAATGGAATCTGCATAGTTGGAGTCACTGTTTGGGGGGGTTCCATTTAGTATTTTTGTTTTGTCGGACCATCTTTGACCTTTCTCTTTTCAAGTCTATCCTAACCGTCGCTCTAACCATTCCAGGAACTGTAATATATAATTCCATCCAGGAACTGTAATTGCCCTATCGATGTCCTCGTAAAATTGGTCTCTTTCGTCTACTATGCACCTCTATATGACACGTAGAATAAGCTAATAAAGCTGTTTTCCTTCAAATATAACCAGTATTTCATATATAGGGCAGTTTATTAAACCAAAAATCATTTGGTTGATATTAACGCGCAATATACGACCACATCAGCGGACAGCAGTTTATATCGTACGGTCGTCATGATCTGCCAATACATAATGGAATAATTAGAGATTCCAGAAATTCAATAACACGTCCATGAATTCACAATTTAAATGTCGAACGTCGACAAAATCAATTATTTCGCTGACCGTCGTCGTCGGGGGAGAGCTGTGCGAAGTCGGTTCGCGCTCCGATGGGTAAATCGAAAAATAATTTTCACACAGTCCCCTAAGATTTGAAGGAAAATCTGGGATATTATGACTAAAGGGAAAATATCAACAGATTGTAGAGAAGTAGTAATAAAGTTCTTAACAATATCACATATGAAGCATTGTTAATTATTATATTTTAACACTGAATTACTGTCCTGGAATGAATCCTGGAAGCGAAACTTACTTAGAGAAAACATTTTTTTTATCTATTTGTATTTAGTTTATTTTTTCTCTTTAGTTGTCAGTTTTGGGTTAATATTTTTTAATTTTCTTTAGTGTCGATTGCTGATTGAATTGGAGCCAGAAATGGCTCAAAACGAAATAAGTAAATTACCAACAGATATTCAAGCTAAGGCGACCATATCCAAACTACTTCCATTTAAATCCCGCATAACTTATGAAAAGGAATACAAAAATTTTCAAAAATGGAAGCAATTAAAAAACGTTCGAGAAGAAATAAAGTTTTTAACCTATCCTCGCTGTTAAAGTTATCATTTAATCTACCTTTGCGGTTAAAGTACTATTTTATCTACTATTTTTGATAGATATAAGACAATTTGAACAGTTGCTATGGAAAAAAAATAAAAATTGAAATTCTTTGAACATTTTACCTGTCCATTAGCTCTGCAATTTTGCAATAAATAAATTTCACTCTGCCGTAAAATATTTATTGGCTAATCTAGGGCACCAAACATTTAATTAATGATCCTTTGATAATCACGGTTGATTACGTTTTGCGTGGCTTATACGTTATGTTATATTAATAGATTTATTAACGAAATTAATTATGGTAGAAATAAATAAAATGTATCACGCTTATAATATTTTAAACGATAATGATGAACAATCTGTATTAGAATTTATTTTAAATATTAATTTATTATTTGTTTTGTTGGTTAGATTCAACTGTAACATTGGCGTGGTCGCACATTTGTTATGTTACTCAACATGAATGCAATACATTATTATTATAAATTTAATTTGGTAATTATTTTGATGTCTTTGATAACGTGCACACCAAGTTTTATTCATTTATGCAGGGTGTCAAAAAAAATAGTATATCTGTTACAGTCAACGTCGAAAACTCAGTGATTGTTAACATTCACTAGGAAATGCTAGCAAATACGCATTGGATAATTTAATCGTCTTTATACGTTTATAAAATATTGTTTTTTCCAGTAGAGAAATGGAATCAAGTCAAACTTCACGCATTAAGTAGCTATAGTCTGTTTCTGTTTGATTTCTGACTATTCTGTTGATTCGATTCCTTTCAGAAGTGATCTGGATCAAGTCTAGAAAACTTAACGCTGTGTAAAAGTAGCTCTAAATTTTAACACACGTGCTAAAATTTAGAGCTACTTTTTGATAAAATGGATGACAATGTCTGAACCATTTGCACCAAGTGAATCAGATTATCAGCCATCTGAAAGGTTTGACTCTATCGATTCTGAAAGTATATAGCTTGATTTATCATTATTTTCACTAATACTACATCAATGGCATGTTGTTAATCTGAATAAAACTGCACGATCTTATTTCATATAGACGTAACGTAACACACTCTAAAAGGCAGCATATGAAGGATCTTCTTCCCTTTATCCCGCCTATACACCATATTTGTTATAAAAATCGAAGAAAACACTATTAATAGACAATGTGATGTCAACAAATCTCTTAATAACGAAGAAGAATGTACCGATGAACCAATTTATATCTAAAATTTCAAATATTTTCAGAGATAAAATGGTGCAAGTCCAAAAAAGCATAAACAAACATTCTTAAAAATGACCATAGTTGTATTTTGAGTTACTTTAGTTTGCAATTATACAATTTAAAATATAACAAAGCATTGTGACAAGCTTTCTTGTCCTGCTTGTTTTATTTTAATTAAATAAAATTAAAAAACTTTAACTCTCATTTTCTCCATAATTTTCTTCTAGGACTTGATCCAGTTCACTTCTGAACCCCTCAAATATTACTTGTTTCTTCTAATTATTCAAGGGAACAATAAAATATACGAACTAAATGGTAATTACGTACAGAACAAGAATCAAACTTTCTTATTTTTACACCTGATTCGCCTGTTCTATACGTCTCGTCGTCCGAAACGTGAGAAACGAGAAGTTTTGATTTATGATTGTTTGTTAATTCAACTCTGTCGGGCGGGCGTTACGAAAATAAAGTAAACAAACTTTTCCGAGTTTCCCTTTACAATTCCGCTTTCTAATAAAGTTTCTAGTTGGGGAAATTAACACGGAAAAGAAATTGTAACTCTTCCGGTCTCGTTGATAATTAGTTTTGTCGGTTTTTTGATTAAATTCTCGTAGTTGAAGTTCACTGAAGCTTTAGTACTTTTGTAAGTAATATCGACACGAATATCATATATATGATAAAAATTATATTATGATGTGTAAGGTTAGTATATTCTGTTTTTTTCTCAGGTAAGATTTCGACAGACGATGATAGAAGAAAATCAGATGACGTCCCATACCAATATATTTATTTTACTAAAAAAAGTGGCTAATATTTTTTAAGTTAACTCTGGATGGGTTTAAATATAAATCTGTCATGCGTCGTCTGTTGTTGTTTTTAACCAGTTTTATTGGTTTATTTCAAAAATGACAGATCATATCTCAATCCTATTGGTTTGACGGAACGATGAACGACAAACGGACGCAGATGCGTATGAACTCGCCTTTAGATTTTTGAGGCTTGTCAAAGTCTTGCCAAATTATAGGTTATAATTTTGTGTCAACTTATGTCAGATATCTGCATTTTGGAAGATGATACATTTTGATTCGTGTTATTACGTGTGTTTTGTGTCTTTTGAAGTCAAGTGGAGGAAAAATCTTGAGACAATACTCGCTGTCCAGGCAGAAAGTCTTATACACCAATAAAGTTACCATCAATAAAGTTTGTATACCATCTCGTTGTAGATAAGTGCATCTCGTATTTGCTACAAACATAACTAAACATATACTACTGGAGTAGCTGTAAAATATCGACACGATAGGTATAATAAATTTTAGTGCTGCAGAAAAATTAACAAAACTGTTAAAACAGAGATAGCCATATCTCAATTTTATCACAGATATAATCGATTAATCACTTTTACGTTAATTTTTTTCTTAGGCGACTTAAAATGAAAAAAATAACTTTAATACTATCCATAAATCATTTATTTCAAAAATGTTTATGTAAGAGAAAAAAGAATTAATGATCTACGTAATCTTTTTAAACAGTAAAAGCCTAAAATACCTGACGCAAAAAACCTGACGCCTGAATCTTGAAAGATTACCATTTTGACACTTTCTTCATTAATTCGTTAAGCGAAAAAAACTGTCTATATAGAGCTTTGTAAGCTAAAATATAAAGCCTTAATATAAATATAATGCCGTTACAAATAGTATCTATCATATCTAATTTAGAAGTCATTCATTTAAATATTAATGAAAGATAAGTAAAGAATATTCTTTAAATATTAGTTTTACACTTGAAATAAAGTGTTTAATTTTAGTTATAAAATCGAATAGTTTTTTAATAAACTAGTACCAATTTTTCGAAAATTAATACAGATAAAGTAAAAAACGTAAGACAAATAGTAAATTTCATAGTGCCAGTGTTTCATATTTAACACTGAAATAGACGATGAAAATATGGATTTATAGGATCGATTAGGACTTATAGGATTAGATCATCAGGATTTAGATCATCTTAGACTTAGATCATTTGGACTTATAGGATCGATTTCTTTTTAAATATTGTGATAACTGTTAATGCCAAATGGTATAAAACAGTTTGTTTGCCAACGATCTTCGATGAAATAAGGAAAAAGAACAAAAAACGTCACATCATTCTTCATTAGGACAATGCCAAGCTCCCATAAAGCATGTCAAACAACTGAATATTCGAAGGAGAAAAACATCGTTTTAATGTCTCATTGCCCGTATTCGCACGATTTATCACCTAATGACTTTTTCTTGGTTCCCATTTTCAAACAAAAAATGCGCGGATAGCGATTTTCATCACCTCAAGAAACTTTTGAAGACTTTAAAAACCATATTTCTACGATATCAGCTTCAGAGTGAAAAAAATGTTCCCAGAATTGGTTTGAGCATATGCAAAAGTGTATAAGTGACCTTAAAGGCGAAATATGTTTAAGTGACCTTAAAGGCGAATATTTCGAAAAGCAATAAAACACTTTGTTTCGAACGTGTTCGTTTCTGTTTCACTTTTTGTAAAAACTTAAAAGACAACCCTCGTAGTTGAATGATAACTTCCAATTTAAATACTTTTTTAAGAGCTCTACGTTTCAAAACCTTTCCAGAAATAAATGGATCAAATGTATTTTATTACTTTTCTTGTATATTTTGTATTACCAGTATTAAAATAATGAACAATTTTAGATAGATCTTTGTTTTAGACATTAAATATATCAACTGAAGTAAACTTTATAATTGAAATCTAAACAAAGTTGAATCAATTCAAACTAATAGAACATTGTTTCACCGTAAAACGATCTCAGCAATAGCAAGACCATTAATCAAAGCTTTTGATACAGGTGAAGAATTTATTACGAAAGTTTAAGTTTTATCAAATTTATATAAATAAAACTGAAAATCTTAATAGCTTTGGTGTTATATTTTAATATTTGATAATAAGATTTTTAAAATAGTGCTTAAAATAATTTAAAAAAAATGGGAATGGAGAGACACTTTCATATTATTTATTTCCAAACGATTTAATTTGTCATAAATATTATTTAAAATTATTTATGTATTAATATAAATCAAGATAAATAGTTGTTAAAATAATATAGTACATTACAACAGAGCTTGGAGCTTGGTTGCACGTATTGCTATTATCTTTGTAGTCTATAGGCTAGACATAACCCATTTAATTTAAATTATGGTTTAGTCCCAAGGCATAATTCGTTTATATTAAGGGTCGTAATATAAATTCTATTCTAGAATGCAACAAGTTTAGTGATTACTAAACTTGACTGTAGGTTATATTATGCAGGCCATAATTTTGACAAATGTCTTTGGAATTTTGCTTAAAGCAATAATATAAAAATGTTCTTCTTTGTTGATATAACTGTTTATATTTACAAAAACTTTTTTGTCACACTTTAAGGTTTTTAATTCACTAAAGTAATATTATTTTTTATAAATCTTATATATGATTTTTTTTAAATTTTATATTAAATATGCACATCATTTAAATCTTGTATCATTTGATAAAGAAAGATTGATATTCTTTATATTATATTTTACAATAAAAAATATTGCATAACTATATCAATAAAATAATATGGAATAGCTGAAAAATTTTAATAATAACAAAACATATTAAAAAAACAGTTAATTTTTCATAATTTATTAATATATGATAGGCATTATATGATTATAAGGCAAACATTTATTAGCTATACATTTTTTATTGACCTGAAAATTCTACTTTAAATTTAACCACTGGCAAGTTTTCTGTGTCCTGTCATCGCTCTAAACTACCTTTACCACTATGAGTATATGATTTATTTTATGTGAAGAAACAAGTGATACCATGAATTTCTTAATTTATTGTGTTCCTTACATCCTTAAAATTAAAATAATCTGGTAATCAAAAATATGTTTTTAATCAACTAATATTAACTAGATTTAAAAGACATATTGAGTACTTATAGAAGAAACTCAATCATATTCAAATCTAGAACGCCACTTTATCTAAAGAAGCAAACATTCGACCAATGTGTACTAGCAGTCATGACCTATGCATGCGAAATATGGACACTTAAAACGGACATTATAAGGAAACTGCAGGTCGCACAACGCTCAATGAAACGAAATATGCTGGGAATAACTAAGAGAGACCGTAAAAGAATAGAGTGGATACGACAAAAAACCAGGTAAAAGATATCATCCGCAGAGTCAAATTCCTCAAGTGGCAATGAGCAGGGCACCTGGCAAGAAGGACAGACAACAGATGGATCACAAAAATTACAGCAATGTATCCACGAGGAATTAAGAGACCTAGAGGAAGATCAAACTTGGGATGGGACTATGATATTATAAAATTAGCAGGAATAACTTTGTCCCACATAACCAACAATAGACAAAAATGGGCCCGACTAAAGAGAGTATCTAAATACGTAAGAACATCACTGGAAATGGTTGAATCAGCTGAAAATGATGATGATTGTGATGGCTCTATTAAGATAAGGTAAGACATGTCTCATATTACAGGAAATTAGATGCACATGAGAGAACGTCAAAATAAATAAATGTAAAGATAATTATGTGAACAGAAATAGTAATCAAATTTGTAGTAGTTTAGGCTTTCGCGACCATCGTTTGAAGAAATTTGGTTTTTTGGGTTTTTAGGCCGTCGTCGGTTAGAATTGCTTCCTAACGTTTCGCTAGCACGAGTGGCTAGCATGACTTAGTTACAACATACACATACAAGAGGAACTAAGTCACTTAAATAACGCCTTCCTTGCTAATGGGTATAATGAGAAAGAAATAAAGGCGGCGCTAGCACCTAGGCAGAGGAGACTTGACATCAATGAACAGAATAACACCGTTAATAAGGCCTTCCTTCCATATGTCTCCCAGGTCACCGATAGGATTGGAAAAGTTCTCAGGAAACACAACATCAAAACAATATACAAACCTACCCGGAAAATAAAGGACTGCTTGAGACCAGCCAAAGATAAAAGGGTACCATTATCCTCTGCAGGGATCTACCGTATACCTTGTTCCTGCGGTAGCGTATATATTGGAACTACCAAACGCTCAGTAGGAACGAGACTTACGGAACACAAGAGAAGCTGCAGGTTAGGGCAAACAGATAAGTCGGCCGTAGCAGAACATGCTCTAAGAGATGGTGACCACAAAATCCAGTTCGAAGACACCCAAGTCATTGCCCAACATCTGGATATCATCCTCGTCTGGTCAGGGAAGCTGTTGAAATTCACAAACATCCAAATAATTTCAACAGGAAGGAAGAAACTCTCTACCTAAACAGATTTTTTTTTTTTTTTGTGAGGGGTGGTTGAAAAATCTTTTATAGACGACTAGTGATCATTTCCCTGACCATCTCGAGAGAGACGGTCATAGAAATAACCCCTAGACAGTGTGGGACTCGGTGTTGATACCCACTAAAAAAAAGTCCACCTCCGAGGAATCAGTCGCCGAAGAATGGTCAGCTATTATTCCTGCTAATATGTGGGGAAGAAGGGGGGGTGTGGGGTAATGGGAGGACTATATTATGAGAAGGGGGGGACAAAATTAATTGTCTAGAAGAATGGTTTTAAGATGGGAGTATTTGAAGTTTCTATAGTCCTCGGGGTTGTAATCAAAGATTTTTAGGGTACTATTGGGGATAGTACCGATTTTCTCGTAGAACTTCAAGGCACGATCCCGAAGGTATTTGGGGATGGGGTCGATGCGTAGGTCAGTACGTATGTCGGAGTTTCGTATATACCAGGGAGCTCTGGTGATATAGCGGAGGATTTTGTTCTCACAGACTTGGAGTCTGTGGATTTGGCTGTCGGAAGCTCTACACCATACTGGGGCTGCATAGAGGAGCTGGGGGCGAATGACTGTTCTGAACAGTAGGACTTTATTTGAGAGGGAGAGGGTGCTCTTTTTGCTGAGGAGGCCATGAAGGCTAGCATAAGTGGCACGGGCACCAGAAATTTTCTTGTCGATATGAGGGATCCAGGATAGCCGTCGGTCTAGTGTGACTCCGAGATACTTGGCGGTTTCCCCCCAAGGGATCTCTTCGTCGTCTATGACTAGCGGAGGAGGTAGTGGGAGCCTCATTCGTCCGGAGACGAACAAGGTTTGGGTTTTTGCTGCATTGATTTTGATTTTCCAATGGGGAAACCAATCAAGCAGCTGGGCAATGTGGGGTTGGAGCCTGCTCAGAATTCCATTGCTCGAGGCAGTGGAGTAGAGACAGGTGTCGCCTGCGAATAACGCAAGACGAGACACTTGATCGGTACCAACCGAGTAAAAGCCTATATAAACGCTCAGTTATAACACAGCGAAAAGCGTGTCCAATGTTAAAAGTAAAAGTATTTTGGTGCTGATTATGTGAAATAACTAAATAATAAAATAACTAAAATAAATAAATGGTTATTTTTCCTTTCATATGTCTATAAATTGTATTTTCATGAAACAATATAAATAAGTATATATACTTAGAGATCGTAATGTAACTCTAAATGGCGAACTAGCTGTACATTTACTCTATCCAGAATTTATTCCGAACTAAAACTCTATGTTGATGGTTTATGTGCAGATACTTTCTAAACCGATGCATTTTTAACTCTCTAAATTTATCCCCCGATGCTGAATTATTTTGTGGGCAGGTAAAGGTTTAAAGATTAATGAAAATTCTTCTCGGCTGATCGTGGAAATTACGTTCGACACGGTAGACTGTAATGGCCCCATAACTATTTTTCACGTCTAGATATTTCCACATGGAAAAGTCGATATACCTACTTTACGTAGTATGCCCATGGAAAATGTATGAAAATATTCCTTGTATGTTTATATTGGATTAAAGTTTTCTTTAGAAACAAACTTGTTTTTTGATATTTTCATAATATAGTTATTACCTGTTTATTTTTCGTTATAGGCATGGTACATTCTCCGCTGGGGTTACTACCATCGGAAAATATAGTAAACAATCGGTATATACAAATACACGGATTTAAATAGCGAGTATAGAAAAAAAGTTTCTGTAATTCTTTAAAAAAAATATCTATAACGAAAATTCTAAAAAAAATTAAAAGTAAATATTTAGATATCTTCAGAAGGTCTAACTTGGCATTATGACTTATTATTCCATTACAGCTAAAAAAACCTTTAAGATGAGTTCAACTACGGTAGCAAGCATAATTTTACGCACCGGTTTCGCTAGTAGAGACATAACTATTAGACGGAGAGCTGGCAACATAAAACACCTTATCATCGTTACATGGCTAATTTTTCTTGTAAAGTATCCTTTTGTGTAGCCTTTTTGAAATTGTCATGTCTGCCTTTATTTATTTAAAAAGCCGTATGGCAAATCAGCAGACAAAAAATCGTAGCTAAATCAGAGGCAGACAGTTTCAGACAGTTTTTTTTTTCATCAGAAGCGCGATATTACTCTACAGCGTGAGTCTTAAATAAGTGCAAATATTTACAGGACTGAAAAGATACATATTTTCTCGAAATAAGTCCAAAATAACCCAGTTCAAGTTTGAAAATTAAAAAAAAATGATTTATTTTTAAATATGTACTTCACAAAAAAAGGAAGGAAGGAACGAAGGATTTTGTATAAGCCGTATCAGTCGCTAAGTCATTTAGCGGCATTGGTCAAATTAAAGTTAAATTAAACTATATTAATGAACACGAACCCGATGGCCTAGTAAATTGGAACAAAGACTGTAGATTATTAGCATCAAGAACGGAAGCCAGATCGCCATTCAGACCAAATGATTGTCTTACATATACATACATACATTGTCCTAAGTTAATGAATAAGGGTATTATTAGCGGGGGGTCGCCTTTTAAAAGGAAGGAAAGAGGGAAAAAGCAGTGACCCAACTTGAGCTGATTCCAAATGACTTCTTCATTTCTGGATAGTGACCGAGCTACAGAAATTTGGAAGAATTTTTATTGATTGGAAGAGGTTTACATTCATATAGTTTATTTGAATCTCCTGTTACTTCCCACTTTGCCTGAATACCACTTTTTATTGTGGATATATGTAGAAATTTAAATTTTTAGATAGAAAATGCAAATGGTATAAAATCTCCATCGTTCGCCGCATTCTTAGCAATCTTATCAGCATCTTCATTATGTCTTATGCCCACATGACTAGGAATCCATACTAGATCCACAAATGAACCTTTAGATATTGAAGAGTAATGCAAGTCGAGCGATTTGACGGCTAGAGGATATTTTGGTGATAAAAAATACGCCACAAGAAAAATTAGCCATGTAACGATGATAAGAGTTTTTTATGTAGCCAGCTCTTGGACTATGGGGTTATAACAACATTTTTTGAAGGTACATAATTATAATTTTAGAAGATATTCTTAAAAAATGTAGGCACTAGTTGATTAAAAAAAGAGTATACCATTAATATTGCAAATTATATTTTATCCTCTCATAGTATAGGTATGTCTATTTAATTTTTTGATTATGTGATGGACACTTTGTTTACTCACTTGTTTCGTCGAACTGATTGAATTAATTTTTGCTTTCGATCAAATCGGTGTGAGAAACTGTGATGCTATAAAATGTTGTTTCGGGTAAATTGAATATCCGGGAAAGGTTAAATTATTGAATGTTATTGTACCGAACAACCAACCACGTAATTACGCCCTCCTTTACGCAATAACATTTTTTCGGTAAATTTATTAATATTTGAAATTGTCGATTTTTTCACTTAATTTTTATTACCAAAAACAACATTACATCACACAAACCTCGTACCTGAGTGTTTTATTAAACGGTTTTATTTAGCTCGACCCGTACGGTATTTATTTATTTGTTTGTTTATTTGGGTCAAAATTAGAAATTGAAATTTAAGTACCTTCCTGTTGTCAGATTGATCTGAAATTTGGTACACACATTTAGTTTCGATGACAATACAATATAGTAATATCAATAACATTGTAAATCTAAGATGGCCGCCGGTACAAAATGGCGGATTTCATATTTTTCCACAACCCCCTCAATATGGGTATCAAATGAAAGGGCTACACTAGTAGAATACTGTGATTATGACAAAATTTAAAATCCAAGATGGACGTCGTTACAAAATGGCGTATTAGGTGAGGGCATGAGTAGTCGTGTCCAGAACAGTTGTGTCCAAGATTGTGTGACGTTAGAAGGACAGATACAAAAAAATAGGTGATTAGCTGTGCCTACGTAGTTAGCGGTAGCTTTACCACCCAAGTTAAGGTAATAGGTTAAAACGTGCTGAAGACTGTATGGCATTAGGGTGGCTAAAAATGTAATGTCGCAAGCGTTTTCCCTCAAGATTGGGCGCCTCTTGTTGTATATTATATCCTTGCCCCTCTACTGGACCTCTGGGGGGGTCGACCGTTAAAATGTCCATTACTCGTGGGAACAACATGGAAACAATAAATAAAAAAACAAACAAAAAAAAAATCGGTAAAAACTTTTAAATTAAACGGTTTTATCTTATGTGCACTGAAAACTAGAAAATAATAATAACAATTAGGTATTTTGAACTTCTAGTTCAGAAATATTTTAGTACTAGGCAGAATAGCTTTTAGGCATATTAGACTAAAATAAAAACGTGGGGCCCATTAACTATTGCTGTAATACTTTCTTCTATACTAAGTGTGGATTGCATCGACTTACTATAATCGTAACTGGAGATTTTGACAATCAATAACCAGCCGTGGCGGCTTCACCAGCGAAGGCCGAGCTCATGATCTACCAAAGTATAAAGGTATGCTTTGCCATAGGTAGGATTTCAGAGGGGCCCCACGTTTTTATTTTAGTCTAATATGCCTAAAAGCTATTCTGCCTAGTACTAAAATATTTCTGAACTAGAAGTTGAAAATACCTAATTGTTATTATTATTTTCTAGTTTTCAGTGCACATAATAATATCAATAACTGCACTAGCAAGAAACTAAAATGACAAAGTCATCATTTCAATATTATTTTAATGCGATCAAGATGAACTGTAACCAGGACTGTGTAAAATACATAGCAAAAATTTTTGATTTCTGCCGATTCAAAATTTTTTTAAATCAAATGAAATGCACTTACTACATAATCTATTATACAAATCTATTGTTCATTAATAATTCAATGCTGTTCTCTACTCCAATATGTAAGGTGATACTACAGAGTATAGTACACAGCATACTTCTCGTGCATAGCGATACACCCAAACTGCTGTTCTACTTGATTTTCTACTCACGATTATTCAGTGACATCGATATCTCCTTCAGCTAGAAACGATTCTTCTTATTTGAATGTAAC